GGAGAACTCTGCTTGTGGGATATGCTGCTGAGGCTGTGTGTCTCACATGGATATGAACCTTAATTTACTGTTGTAAACTAAATAGGTTTCCATCAGGAACAGCAAGGAAAGCTGAATTAATAGCACCCAGATTTGACTAAGGAGGAGGGTCTGAGCTACTACATAACAAAATACTTTCTCCTGTTAGCCTTAAGCCTAGTAATTCTGAAATCCCTTTGAGAAAGGGTTCTTAGAAAGAAGAATGACCCAACTGACATACATATCCGTATGTAGAGAATCAGGACCAATTCTGTCTCTTTGATTCCCCCAATTCCTGCCATAGGAATGATGCCCCACATGTGTGGTAACTAGGGTGAATTTCATTTAACCAAGCAGAATGTGCTTATCCCTGAATATACAAGGGCAGAACATGTCTCTGTTCCAAGAATCATGAAATCTAGATGTGATGTGTAATCTCACAGCAGGGAGGGAAATTGTGAGGCACAGTGAACGACATGTGGCTGGAGTGTTAGAGAATTTGGGTGAGTGGTCTGAAGGAACCACATGTCATGTGCTCTGTATGTCACCCAGATAGAGCTACTCCCACCTCAGCTCTCTATGTCTAAAAGGCTGACTTTAACTAAGCCTAAGGGACAGTCATAAGATTAAACCTGATGCCTATGCTACATAGGTCATTTTCAACACCTCCAAGGAAATGTGTCTCTCTCTATAGTCCTCCTCATGGGAGACATTTGTCTGTCAAGGCTGTGCCAGAATGGACCCTTTCCTGCTCTTCCTGGTGACTGATGGCCTCCCCCACAAGCCAGGAATCTTTACCTCTGTTCTTTGTCAGTAGCTCCACTTAGGGGTAGTGGAAAGTCATCTTCTGCTACATGTGAATTCTGCTGCATGCTGTTAGAAGAGAATCTTTATCTCCTTGACAAGAAAGTTCCACAGCATCTCCAGGCAGATGGAACTATGATAGTATGGCTTAAAGAGCATTATTTCTCCAGATGGACTGTGCTCTGTACCTCATTGGCTAGAAATTCATTTGTCTTCTCAAAGTTTGTCAATAAGATGTGTGTGTGTATGTGTGTGTGTGTGTGTGTGTGTGTGTCCAAGCTGGCATAGAATTCACTATGTAGCCCAGCCTGATCTCAGACTCAAAGCAAGCCTCATCTTTTCTTAGTTTCCTGAATGCTGGGATTATAGGCATGAGCCACTCCCCTGGCTTATTACATTATATTTCACACCCCTCTGTATACTTCCAAATGCAATTAAGAACCTCACCAGAAGGCAAATGATTTATCCCCTTCAAATTTGTTAGAAATTACTTATATTTTGCTATCAGTCTCACCCAAATAAGACACAACACCAAAAAGAGCCAGGAGAGTTCAGCACAGATGCATATATTTCCACCCACACTTGTTATCCCAGGATTTACTTATTAATAATTTCAAACTTTCTCCTAACATCTATGCTGTCACTGCAAACCAGAAATCTTTCCTAACCATATGCTTAATATTATCATGTAGGCAGAATTTCATAATGTAAAAATGATTGTAGCAAGTATAGCACATGGCTTCAAGAATCTGATCCTTTCAGGCTGAAGAGGTAGCTCAGCTGATAAAGTGTTTGCCTTGAGAGCATGAGGACCTGAGTTCAAGCATCAGAACTGTTATTGTTATTGTTGTTTTAGATATGATGACACACTTGTCATCCCAGCACTAGGGGAACCAAAATAGGCAGATGCCTGGGGCTCACTATCCAGCCATCTTAGCCCGTTTAGTGAATTCCAGGCCAATGAGAGAACTTGTCTCAAAAAACAGTAAGGTGGGGACTGGAGAAATGGCTCCGCAGTTTAGAGCACTGACTACTCTTGTAGAAGACCCAGGTTCAGTTCCCAGCACCCACATGGCAGCTAACAACACCTGTAACTCCAGTTCCAGGGGATTTAGAGCCCTCTTCTGGCCTCCATGTGCATTGCATGACACATGTGCACTTACATACGTGCAGGCAAAACACTCATGCACATTTTTTTAAAGGTGTATGGAATGCCTGAGGAATGACAGCCAAGGGTGTCCTCTGGTCTCCACATGCATGTGCACACATCTGCACCTGCACATGGTAGACTAGGAAAAAGAGTACTGTTCTTCTACTAATGAGTCCTCCCTCTCAAACTCGAGGACAGACAGTGCGTGAGTCCATCCTTGGAGAGACGCCTTTCTGCAGCACCGTGACTTCTCATGGTCATGCTGGCACACCTTGGCTGGGGGTATTGGCCCAGTCTTTGCTTGTACATTGTGGAAGCAGCTGTCATAGGTTCTGACAGCTCCCTTCTCTGGGACCCTTCCCTCTGTATCTGTTGCCATTTGGCACCTACTGCGTGACATGAGTTTGTGCTGTCAGTCTGGTGCTGGATCCCAGAGCCTTGCATCATTTGACACCTCATTTGGTGGGTAGCAGGACCAGGTTGGCTGGTTAGCCTGACATCTTACACTGTGAATCCCTGTAATGTGCCAGGGCCTCTACTCAGCAGCTCAGCCCTGCACTTAACATCACTGTGTATGGGGAGGAGGGAGTGGTCAGCGGGTGCTCTGGGTGCCTCCTCTTCCTCTGGTGAACTTCTCATCGGGCCTCGAGAATGGCCCTGGAGTGCCCTTGCAGATGCAGTCTGTGCACCATCTGTGCCAGTGTGACCACTCGGACCAGAAAATCAGCCTCCTAAATCAGAGAGACATTTACTGTGGTAAGTGGCTCCCCGTTGTCACTTTCCATAACAGGAGTCTAAGAAATATGCTCTGGGCGGTGGTGGGGAAGGACCCATTAATGCAGCTGGCTCCCAGCTGTCCGAGGAGCCAGTTACTGGGCAGCCTGCTTCATAGTTCTGCATCACTTTCTGCTACTGTATTGAGGGCAAATGCAGCAAAGATTGATGTGCAAATGCATTTCTTTTGTTCTTGTTTTAAAAAATTCTAATGAAAGACTTTACAGAATCTAGGCGTGAACTGTAATATGAGATTTGGGATGATCTGTGGATTATATTCCTCAGTCTCATGAGTAGACATTCAACAGGAATTAGTATACCTCCCTATTTTTTTCTCTCTCTCTCTGTACATTCATATATGCACAAGTGCATGTATATGGATGGGTGCATGTCCAAGTGTGTGTACCTGCATGTGGAGGCCAGAGAACAACCTTGTCTATCAAACCAAGGCACAGTTCACCTTGGTGTTTTGAGACAGGGTCTCTCACTGACCTGGAACTCACCAAGCAGGCTAGACTGACTGGCCAGCACACCCTAGGGATTCCTCCACTTCTGCCTCCCCAGCACTGGGATTTCATGTGTGATACCATCCCCAGCATTTCGTATGTGGGTTCTGGAGACTGAACTCAGATCCTCATGCTTGCAAGGGAAACATTTTACCAACTGGGCTATCACTGAAGCCTGTACCTTCCCATGCTTGCTCAGGGTGATATTTATCTTCAACAGAATAAGAGGGAGGATTTCCCTGAACTTATAGACTGAAGTAATTCTCAGTTTAACAAACAGCATGGTCCAGTAGAAAGAACCAGAACAAGAGTCAGAGTGACATTGTTTCAAATTCCTAGGCTTCAGTATCTGACTATGTGACGTGAGACAAATTACTTCTTTGAGGCTCAGTTTTTCTTATCTCTCATGTGCAGCTCATGCTAAATGTCATTTGAAATGATTATAGTAGGAAACATCTGTGAACAGCTGGCACAAGTCCTAGCTGACAGCCAGTACTTAAATAGGGTTCGGTCCCATTGAAGCAGAAACTGGTGAAGAGGCCAGTTACTTTGACCAAATGACAACCTCTTGCTGCCTCTGTGTCCTCCCCTATAATAGGGATAATGAATGTCATGGTAATAGTGTCCCTCCAAGGATGTTGGGATGAGTGAATTAATGCATCCAAATTCCTTAGAACACACAAATCCAAGCATAAACGGGCTTTATTAATGACAGTATTTTTATTTTCTCTATTTTTTTTTTCTTGTTACTTTTTGGTTTTTATGTTGATTGTTTTTTGACAGAGTCTCCCTAGTCACTGCCCATCTGGAAATCACGATGTGATCCAGGGTGATTTAAATCTCACAGAGATCCACCTGCCTCTGCTTCCTAAGGGCTGGGATTAAAGGCACACACTGCCATGCCCAGCGTTGTCCTCTATCTTTTTAATTGTTCTGGAACATGTGTGAAAAAGATGTCTCAAAAACATACGTTAAGAGGGAAAGGATTTTGTCAGTTCACTGTCACATATATATTTACCCTGCACAAACACACATGAAAATGCTGTGGGTCATAGACACTGGGTAGGTGTCTGTCTCTGAGCTGAGACCACAAGGCCAGGAACAAGGATGCAGGGGCAGGCATAGGAGAAAATGAGCCCCCCTCCCCCCAGGAATGGCAACTCTTGATGGTTTTAGAAATCAAGTAAGATTAAGTAGCTGTTTCTGTACTTTATGCTGTGCTATAAACCCAGGAAGGCAGATGGCTGGGCTCTTTGTCCTTGCCTCCACAGCACCTCACAAGTCCCAGAGGAGCCAGAGAAGTTGCCCTGAGTCAATTTGAGGGTAACTCTCATGCTCCATACCCCAGTGAGCTATGGTACTTAACACAGCACTGCTGTAAAATATCTACCTATTAAGGATTTGTTAATTGATTGATTGATTATTATCTGTAGTCATACCCCATACACATACCTTCATAATTTCCATAGTTAGAAAACTAATAATTTTTAGTTAGAAAAACTAACAAATCAAATGGGTCCTTATTTATTTATCTTTGGAACCTGAGTCTGAACTTACGCAAACTAAATTTGTGATCTAACACTGATAGTTCAAGGATCCTTAGCCCCCAGCTCAGTTTTCAGACTCATGGGTAGCTCAATATCTTCTGAACAGGGAAAGACAAAAATCAGAACACAAAAAGCCCAATTAAATGTCTCTGATTTCAGACACTTAGATTGTCAGGATTGTGTCTCTTTATCCTTCTACAGCTCCTGAGGTTCTCGCCCAGAAACCCTACAGCAAAGCTGTTGACTGCTGGTCCATCGGCGTGATCGCCTACATCTTGTAAGTACTGCTGCTCACTGTGGCTACCCTTTCCTCTTACTTTATTGTGATAAAATAAGCACATCACAGCTTTTAGCATTTCAGTGGTATGAAATGTGTTGTCTGCATTGCACTGCCACCATCTGTCCCCTAGTAAACAATGGTTCCCTGTGCTCTCATCCCTACTGACCTCCGTTCTCTTTTCTGTCTTTGTGACTCTGACTACTATTAGGACCTCACATAAAAGGGAATCACAAAACATTTTTTATTTTGTGACTGGCTTGTTTATAATGTCCTCAAAGTTCATCCATGTTGTAGCGTATGTCAGAATTTCCTTCCTTTCAGGGCTAATGTTCCACCGTCTGTACCACTCACTCTTAGTTCATTCTCTCATCTATCAATGGACACTTGAGTTGCTGCCTCCTTTTGGCTTGTGACTACTGACTGCCACTACAGCCATCGGTGTATAAACATTCGTTCAAATCTTTGCTTTAAGTTCTTTGGGGCATTTAAGTCTAGAAATTGGAATTGATGGTCTATGTCATTTGATAATTCTGTGTCTAACTTTTGAGGAACCACTAACAGTGTTTGTAGCAATGGTACCATTTTACTGATGCAGTCCCAGCAGCAGTGCACAGCAATGCACCAGTTGCTGTACATTCAGGCCAACACTTACACCTTTAGAAAATATAAATTAGCTGTCCTGGTGGGATGGGTGGAAACTGGGATCCCATTTTATTTTGCTTTTCATTTCTCTAGTAGCTAATAACAGAGAATCTTTTCATGTGCCATCTTGGCTTTGGGGTGGGGTGTTTGGGGGTTTTATATAAACTACTGAAAATACATATTCAAAAGAAATCAAAATTAGGAAAAAAATGAACAGAAATTAAAATAGATGTTTTGAATTTCTCATTTCTCCTTAGAGGCCTCATCTCCATAATCCAGGAAATAGACTTCTAGACTATACTGGCTATACAATTATTTCAGGATCATCAATTTTGTTCTTTATCATTATGTTTTGTGTTGCTTAAGTCTATGTTAAAGCCCTTTTTAATTGCAATTTAATTTTACAGTTGTACTTACAAATGTTTATTATGTGATATGCTTTTATGGTAGCTTTAGGCCAACTAATTCCTGTAATTGCAAAGACATGAATCCCTGCCCCCATTATTCCAGAGTAAGTTCTCTAGTAAACAGAATTTTCCTCCCCCAACCCCCACCAATGTCTAGAAGATACTGAGTGGAGAAACTTCTGAAAGTTTGTGGCATCATTTCTCCTCCTGGAACACTACAAAAGATCCCTCCCCTCCCCTAGATCTGCACCATTATCTAGAAGCAAATGATCTTTCTATAGCAACATGCAGCTGGGCATTCTGTACATCCAGCATAAATTTAGCTGATAGCGCCTGTGGAATCTCACCATTACAGCAGGCGAGTTTTATCCATTGTCATATACATGGCATGTAAGGCTCTTATTTATGGAAATAGGTAAGTGCTAAGACCAAGCTATTATGCTTATGTATGTTGTCACTTTTCAACAAATATGCCAAATATGGTTGTGATTTAAATACAAAATGTTCCCCACAGGCTCATGTGTTAAGCCTAGGGTCCCAGTTGGTAGTGCTGTTTTAGGAGATTCTGAATACTTTAGGAGGTGGGACTTACCTGGGAGATGCAGTTCACTGAGGGCATGTCCTTGAGAGCTTTATCTTGCCCTCCCCGCTGCTTGTCTCCCTCTTTCTGCTTCTATATGAATTGCTCTGTCCCACCACACTGAACCAGAATAGACTAACACCTCTCTGAAACTGTGAAGTAAAGTAAATCCGTCCTCTTTTTAAGTTGTTTCTGTCAGTTATTTTGATCATAAATAAACAAAAGTAATGACTACAACATCTTCTACAGTAGACTCTTCCTTTCTGAAGAGGGAGTGGAACAGGGGCCTTTTGGGGGATCTAATAAAAACTGTGAACCTGGTCCCCTAATAAAATCCACACATATAATTTGACATACTGGTTTAGGAATGGTCCTAAGTAAGCAGACATTGCACATGGGGCCCGTGTTGTTCATCCTGGCTCCATAAATTCTGAACTACAATTCTATTCAGAGGTCCTAACTCTCCTAGCTTGCGTGAAAGGCTTAAGGAAGTAAGTGAGCCATTTCCTGCCAACACTGAAGCTTATAGTGGTAGTCTGAAAGACTCTCCTGGAACTGGAAAACTGCCTTCTGGTTGCTTATTCCTTTATGTCTGAACGTGGGACCATGATTGTAGTCTCTGTTAATGTCTGTGAACTCCCATGAGTATGTAGGTATAATTATTCCCTGATATCTTGACATTGAGGAAGGGTATCAGTACAGTTGTTAGAGGTGCATTTTGATGAGTGTTTCTTAGAATCACTGGGTTAAGGGGCTGGAGAGATGGCTCAGGGGCCGAGACTGCTTGCTGTTCTTGCAGAGAATCAGAGCTGGCTCCCAACACCCACATTGGGTGGCTCACAACCACCTATAACCCCAGTTCCAGGGCATCCAAAGCCACCTTCTGGCCTCTGAGGCACCCCAAAACACATGATCAACATAGACACACATAAACAAAAATAAAATAAATCTCTAGATTACTGGATAAGTGATTAAAACTAAGTAATGATGCCTTAGTCTTCAAGATCCTATATCGATGCCTTAGTCTTCAAGATCCTATATCAAAATACAATACAGTGATATGATTTAAATGACCAATATTAGTTGCTTGTAATTCTGTAGGCTAGAAAGGCCAAGGGGCCAGTATAGTTTCTGATGAGGGTCTCCTTCCTGGCTTGCAGACATCCACCTTCTTGCTGTGTCCTCACAGAGCAGTGAAAGCATACAAGAGCAAACAAACACTGTATCCTTTCTAAATCCATCCAAAGAAAATGGAATCATCTTGCTTGGCAAGTTAAGCAAGTGACAGTGTGGAAGAGAAAAGTCTGGAGTGAAATCACACTTCTGCTACTGAAGAAGAAGGCAGGGAAGGAATTGGCAGTAGGCACTTAGCCATGTCTGCCATGAACTATCACTAGGAAAATATTAGACTCCAGTGTGGTTAGAGATGAGCATTTGAATGCCTCTGCATGCACCTGTGGAGTTTTGAAGAGTTCTGAGATGCAGTATGGCACATGCATCTGGTAGAACTTGGTATATCTAGTGACTTAAAGTTATGCTACACATGCGGTGTTTTCCACTTGATAAGTTGACACTTGGTGGATTCCCTTGGAACCAGTAGCTTTATACCAGAAAACACTCAGGTCAGTTTCTTGACTGTCAGATTCGAAGATGGCAGGCAGGGATTCTCTTTTTTTCTTAGTGTTTTTCAAAGTTCTGATGGGTCCATGTAGTGCATGAATGAACTTTGGACATCCCAATTGTATCCTATGAAGTGCTTAGACCCACCCAAGCTGTGTGTGGTGCACATACCTGTAATCGCAGTACTTTGGAGTCAGAGGCAAGAGGATTGGAAGTTTAGGGTCATGCTGGGCTGCATAGCAAGTTCCAGGCCAGACCCAATTACACGATGAAACCCTGTCTTAAAAAAAAAAAATCTGGTTATAATTTGCTACGTGACACTGCTATGCATGGAAAACACCAACCTTGAATTTAACGTTATGAGTATTTTAACCCACTTATGAGTCCAACTTGTCTGGCCATATGCATCACTAGTACTCTGGTGAGAGGCATCGTGTCTTTGCTATCTTTGTTTTCCTTTGGCACCTAGCACGGTGCCTGAGACAGAGAAAGCAGTGTAGAAATGATGGTTCTGGGTCCTAATAATGAGAAAGTGGAGGCTGGTGGTCTCACATGTTCAGCCAGACATTGGGGTTCATAGAATGAAGCTATCATTGAGGACAGGGAAAGTTCACAGTAAGAAGGACGCACATTCAGGCTCCGCATAGAAGGCTGGAGGAAATTAACATAAAAGCAAGAGGAGAGAGAGGACATCTGAGCAGGGGAGGGAAGCAGGCGCAAGGCAAAGTTTGCTGTGGTACTTGGAGGAATGATGGAGGCTCTCTGTGAAGGTCCTTGGCCTAGGTTGGTAGGGATGGTACAAGATTGGCACCAGGTTGAACCAGCATTAAAAGCAGAGCTCAGGGTTGGGAAAGTGGCTTAGTCAGTATCTGCCATGTAAGTAGCAGGCTTGAGGTTGGATCCCCAGCACCCACATACAGGCCAGGCATGACAAGAAATGTTTGTAATCCCAGTGCTGGGAGGTAGAGGCAGGTGGCTCCCTGAAGCTCACGACCTGGCCAGCCTAACCAGTTGGTGAGCTCCAGGTTCAGTGAGAGGACCCATCTCAAAAAGAAGGTGGTAAGTAATTGAGGAAGAAACCTGAGATTGACCACTGACCTCTACATGCATGTGCATGCATACATGTGCACACATGTGCACATACCCATACAAATACATAAATGGTTATACAATACATATACACACAAATAAGAACTTGTGGGTTTCAAGCTCAGACTCTTGCCATTTCCTGCTGAGCTGCATGTCTAACCTTCCATCCTTATCCATTGTCTGAAGAGTATGCCAGGCTGCAGAGCAGGCTGAGACTAACGGGCAGCCCTACAGGAAAACCAGCTGCCCCAAGAGGGTCACCCCAGCCCTATGGTTTTCTTCTCCATCGGAATGGAAAAGAGGTTAGCCTCTTCTAATATTTAGAACACTGCCCATTATTTCAATTGATAAGCCTATCACTCTGGGATATTAGACTGCAGCCAAAGTGGCCGAGACAGATCATGTAACCAAATCTTCTCTCTGCACACTATGGAAACATTCATTTTGCCAGTGCAGATACATGCTAAACTAGTGCTTTCTCTATGTCTCTGTGCTCATTTCTCAGTTATCCATCATGTAGAAGAAATTGTTTTTCCTATCAAGGCTATTCATTGTTTTTAAACACACTTGGATCATGATCCTTCCAGGAGTCTTGCTTTGGGAATTAGGACTTACACAAAGCACCTTTGTCTGCGAAGCTTAAGCTACTGAGAAAGATA